ATATATATGTATATGAAAAATATGAACATGTAATTCGATTTGCGTTGATTCAAATCGAAATTAAATCGATATTGGTTAAATCCTGAAAGCTTATTTCTATTTTATACGAACAAAAGAAAATCTGACAAGCAGATATATTAACTTTTTTGATCTAAAATAAATAGAAAACAACAGAACTTTAAAAATATAATAACATATTTAACTATTTAGATCGATTCCTATTATCAAAGAATAAATAATAATGTAAATATGTAAATGTGTAAAATTCCTACAGTGCAAAAGTACAACAACAAGAATAATAATCAAATAGAAAATGTTGTTTCCTTGGAGTACTCGTGTATGATCATCGTTGAACAGCTTGTGCGTCAAGTGAGCAATGTCACTTGGATGAACACGTATATAACCAAGTGAGTCCCAGTAACCCCACCATTTTGCTCTTGAGGAGACCGACTTAATCACAACCAGTACCGTTAACCGTCCCCCACCACTTCCAACTATTCCCCTCCCACTTGGAGTTGGAAAAGGATCGAGTCGTGTGGAACGCCGAAGAGTGGGGGAAGAAATGCACGTGCGTCAGCAGGCAATGGCCCACTAACCTTGATACTTGGTATCCAAAGTAGTGGGGGTAAGACTCCACCAATCAAAGTCACGGCCGGTTTTCCCACTTGACTCGACACAATGACCTCGATATATTCCTTCTCTCTCAACGTTTCCTACTATTTTCCCCTCACCATTTTACTCTGGACGTTACTCTAACTCTCTCGTATTTCTCTTCCCCTCTCCTCTCACCCTCCCTCCCACCACAACCCTATCCCCTTATCCGCCACGACCTTCCATCTAGGTTATTAGCCTTCTCGTCTGACTGACTGGATAACCTTCTTACGCTTTTGCTTCTTTTACTTCTTCCTATTTTCCTCTTTCTTTCTTTCTTTCTTTCTTTCTATTCTTTTTTTTTACGCCATATATTTTTTTTTCTTATGTTATTTCCCTACTCCTTTATTGGTTTCTATAAAAATTTCATATTTTGTACTTCGGCTTATAGGACAGCCCTTAAACGAATAATTAACGTTAAATAATATTTTTTAATGAAAAATATAAATGTTGGGTAAATGAAACTTTGAAACTTATTCATTTCGATTTTTTGTTTTCTTTTTTTTTTTTATGAATAACAACAGTTAAGTGATAATATTAAGAGCGACACATAAATAAATAAATAAATGAAAAACGATGAATCGAATAAAGAAAAAAAAAAAAAACAGGATTCCATGGATGTTAAATTCGTCAAGGTATATCTTGATAAGGATATTGTTCCCCATTGTATTCCGGCGCCCATCCTCTGTAGGGTTGATTAATTTCTTCTTGAGATCTTTGCCATTGCTCATGTACGTCGTAGGGTTTTACAACACTGTAACTAACTCTCGGTGGTGGAAGTGGTGTTACGAGACCTTTCAATGCTACAGCACCGGAAATCAATAGTGCTATCAAACCAGCTCCGAGCCCTTTAAATCCGATAAAACCAATCAGCGTGATAACGATTGGTAAAACTATCAGGGCCTTTAATTTTAATGCAATTAGTATTGGCATCAACATTCTCTTCAATTTCGTGCGTGCTAAAATAAAAGAAAGAAAAGTATTTTTTTTTAATTATTTTTTTTAGTAGTAGTTTGTTTTTCTTATTTTAATTTTATGAACAATTTATTAATTTATGATTCGTCTAGTTAAAATTAATTTGAGAAGGTTTCTTTCTTTTTTTAAATCAATATTTAAATATAGGTGCGTATTATAAAATAAACGTAAATCTTAAGTTAAAGATGTTGAGGGGATAGAAAGGAAGGAAGGAAGAAGAAGAAGAAGAATGGGTTAAAGAAGGAAGAGAGTCTAATGGATAATTCTCATCATCGAATCTACTTTCTCTCGTACAAAGCTCTCTCCGTCATCGCCCTCCTGCGGCGTTCGTCCCAGAAACCTGGAATCTCGTCGTACGCGTTAACGTCTCATACCTAAATGACGTCCCACTTTATTCGGGTGCTCTTCACTTCTCTCCTCACCGTTTTTGCGGATATAAACTTTAATACAAAAAAAAAAAAATAAGAAGAAAAAAAAGGAGGACACGACGCGTCTTCGACTAAACCTTAAACGTACCCTAAAGGTTTTCTTATTTTCTTTTAATTTTTTTTTGTTTTGTTTTTGATCATTTACATCGATAACAAAATTCTTTTCTATTTGTATAAAAAAATTAAATAAATCCAAACCCACGATTTCGAAAAAAAAATAAAATAAATTAGAATAATACTTGGGAGTATTAAAATGTTTTCTCTTCAATCCCTTCGTAAAAAAAAATTTTCGATTTTTTTTTTTTCGAATCTCGAAAGGAACGAAAAAGTAGGCCAACATGATCTGATATCTCTACCTTTCTTTAAAACCAATCGGGAAAGAAGTTACCGGAAGTTCTACTTTTTCGACCAATCGGTTGATCCTTTCGTGGCTCACTTTTCGTTCATTGGAGCAATCTTAGAAAGTCGTGATGCTATAAGATTCTGCTCGGTAACGAGAATTATCTCAAATTCGAATGGAATACCAGACAACGAACACATGATTTTTATCTTTCGTCTTTGGTATTTCTTCCATTATCATTGACAACAATTAGTTATAACAAATGTTTATTACATTTTAATTTTATTTTTAGAAATAAAAATAAACTAAATTTTAACTTCGAAATAAAAATTGTTATTTTTCGTTTATCAATCAAATTAAATTAAACAATTAGGAGATTAATTAGTTAGTTTTATTTTGTTATCTTTAATGATGTTAATAAATGAAATTGTCAATTTTAACTATTATAAGATTAAATTTATCGTTAAATTTATCATCACCCATTAGCACTTAAATAAATTTACGTAATAAAATTTCTTTGAAAGAGATAAAATGTGAGTTATGAGTGAGAAGGTTTAAAAAAAAATAAAAATAAAAATAAAAATGATTCGAACACGTCAAAAGGGAGAGTAATAAAGACGATATTAATACTCAATTGAAATAATTCTAATGTAATAATTATTATAATATTTACCTTCGGAAGCACCACGTGCAAGACTTTTGAGTTCAATATCAACATCCTTTTGTCCTAAAGCACGTCCAAAGAAATCCGCTGATGATCCGTCATTAGGAAAATTGATATGAATCTTTCTAGTTGCGAAAAATCTTTCGATCCTTTCCACCAATGGATCATCAACATCTTTTTTCATTTCCCCTGAATCTTCTTCTACCGCTACTTTTTGCAACGTTACAATGTTACCATAAATATCAATATTATCCTTTTCGTTCAACGCATCCATAGCTTTGGTTAATTTCATTTCTAAATGTTCTACGTTATCGTCATCGTTTGAGATCCTTTGTGGATTTCCTAAAACTATAGTTAACAATTGTAATAATATTATAACTTTTGTCTTCATTGTCAGCTGTGAAAATGGTCGATATCACAGGTACGGAGCTAACAATTTGACTGATTTGCCCGAAGCCTATTTTTTTTCTTATATATCAATCATCGATTCACATGGTGGGGCTAGTTTAAACCATTTGGCAAGCTAACATGTAAGTAACGCGTTGACAAGAATTTTAATTGCAATACATTCCCTACATAGCAAGTGTTAAACCAAGTGCTGAGCACGATCGTTGGGTGACGTAGGGCGCAGTGCATCCAACGCATAACGGCATCTAATATTCCTTTTTAAATCATATTACACTTTGCAAATCATCAAATTATTATTTATATATATATATATATATATAAATATGTATTTGTTGATTATACATTAGACGATTTAATTTGATTGCAACAAATAAATAAGATTTGAATATTAAATTATTTTAAAATAATCGAATTGAATTATATTTATAAAAATGATATTTTATAATTAATCATTAATTATAGAATCTTTAAAAATATTATTAAAAATATTTTTATATAAATAATAAGAGATGATTATTAAATTTCGTAAAGTTTGTATTTCAAATTGGAACTTAAAGAAAAGTAAAAAAAAAAAATACAAATAAATGTAGAGAAAGTGTAAAGGTAAGAGGCAAAAGCAAAGAAAAAAAAAAAAATACGACGGAAAGAGAATAATAAGAGAAAAAGGAAAAGAAAGAGAGAAACAAGGTGTGAGAAAGAATTTAACTGGTGGGAGAAGAAATGACCTCGTGCATGTATGCCCGTGTCCAATTGGAATCGCATATGAGGCTTCGTCAGTTTAACGTCGTATGAAAATTGAATTTGCAATTATAGATGAGTTAGTTCAAACAATTGCTTTTTAAAATCACATCTGACCCACCGATAGTAAAACTAATCACGTACAATGGGGGTTTTCTATGCTATCTTATTCAAATTCTATCAACACATTCACGAATATGAGTTTAAATAATTTCACCAAACTAGAAATCGGGTTTCTTTATCGTACCCAAAGAACTTTTGTTTAAAACGTACGACGATTTGAACGAAACAAAAATGTGTGTATGCGTTTGAGGGTTCAATAGACAAACAGATGATAATTTAAAGTACAAAAATTATTTATTACATATTGAATGATTTTTTTGTTTAAATAATTTACATATAATGTATGAAATTTATTATTATAAATATTAAGTATATATAAATATTATTCTAACAGTCGTTGTCGGTGGATGAGACACACCCCGATCCAATGAATTTTTTTACAAGTATCAAAAATTCATTGAAACAAAAAAAAAAAAAAGAAGAAAAACCACGTCGTTTATTAGGCTGCATTTGTTATTGGTTCGTGTGCCGAATAAGCGAGTGAATGAGCATCGATATTTCCTTGCGTATCATCGAAACTTCTTCTGTAATATCCCTGTTGTTGACCACCTGAAACAGCTGAGGGCCATCCTTGAGTAGCTGGTTCGTACCAATTGTTACCGAACGATGGTGATTTGCCAAAAATGTTGCTAACGGTGCTACCACTGCCAAACATCTTTTGGAAAAATAGGATGCCCGCCAAGATTAGGGCTATTTTACCAATGACAAGTGCCTTCAATACTAACAGACCCAAACCACCGAAAAGAATCGGAACTAAGGCAAATATTTTCACTCCTACTGCTGCTATCAATGGTAAGATTACTTTCTTAATCTTACCACGAGCTGAAATCAAACAAACGAAAAATTTTCATTGTCATAATTATCCTTTTGAAAAATGTGGAATTCGTTAGAACACGTTATTATAATCCCAGAGAAAATAAAATTATTATTATTAATCATCATCGTCAGAATTTGCTAAAGGAAAGCGAATCGTTTGAGAGAGAACAAGTTTATCCGGAACTTGTTTGAGAGAACTCGAATGCGTATAGATATCACGAAGGTGAAAGGCGGATTTTATTCGTTCGTACTCGTAAGTCGTGACGACGTGAATCCGTGACGTCAGTAGTTGTTGTTGTAGTCTCTCAATGCTATCGCAAAGAGGATCACACGATTATATCATCGAAAACTACCATCGTAAAAGAAAAAAAAAAAAAAGAAAAAAAACTTCATTTGTAAAATACGTTTTAAATTACCTTCGGAAAGTGCACGAGAATTAAATTCTTCCGGTATGCTGAGCTTCAAGCTGTGACTTTTCATGAATGACATGGCAGATTCGTAGATCATGCTAACGAGTTTCAATGCCCTTTCAGTAGAATCCTTTGGTAATTCGTTCATCACGTCTAATTCGGTCTTCAAACTTTTTGCACTGCGTTCCACTATAAATCAAATATAATTAGAAAAATATTTATGTTAAGAAAAATCTAATGAAAATAATTGAAAATAACTTACTAGGTTTGTCTCGTACAAAAACAATACCATCGAGAAGCTGAATATCACTGGACCTTGATGCCCTGTCCAATGTTGTAGCAGCTTTAACGAAGATGCAACTGAACAATTCATTCTCACGTTCCAAACAGTCGAGATCTCTGTTGATAAGTGTATCTGATGTTGGTATTGCTAAAGTAACGGTGACGAAGAATCCCAAGATCAATAATTTCTTCATCTTTCCCTTTTGTTTTATATTCGTTTATTAAATTATTGAAAAAGAACACACGGACACAGAGACAGATAGCAAAGGATAATCGTCGAACTGTTGAAATACGGAGCGAAGATGTTCCTTAGGAAAATTTTCGGATTATGATCTGGTCCTCCGAGTAGCTTCGATCTTTATAGGCATGCATTCAACAGGGAGTATCCCCCAATATTCCCCCACCAATGAATATGTAGAAGGAAGCGTGTAAAAGACAACGATGATGACGACAACGCATAACTCTTTTAAAGTATTCACTGAAACTCGTCATAGACATTAGTACACAGTTAAATGGGATGGTTGGTTGGTTGGTTGGTCGAGATGCCACCTCCCTGACTATACTTTCCTCGATAATTTTTTAAACAAACTCCTTGGCACCTCCTATGTCTCCTCAAAGTATCTGGGAGGGATATTATCTCTCCTAGTCGTTATTCTTTCCTCGTTGAAGAACTCACTCTCGGTGGACTGACTTTTATTGATATTTTCTTATTATTTAGGTCACTAAGGGTCACTAATTAGTCACGTTCTTTCTGGTTTTCAAAAAAATACTTTTGTAGGATCTCATTTTATTCTTTTTTTCTTTTTTTAAATTACTTTCGATTAATCTTATGATTAGTAGTATTTCTAATAAGTATGACGTAAAACAACAAAATATTTAATACAAATACACACAAGCATGTTTGTTGAAATGAAATAAAAAATTATCGATATAAATCATCTCGAATAATTATCTCGTAGTGATTACAATGATCTTATACAAAGTGATAGTTTGACATAGAAAAAAATGTTTGAACAAAGAGAGTAGCATAAATTCTTATAGATGGGACAGTTAGCTCGTAACTATCTTTCACATTGTAAGAATTTTAATACTTTGAAGCTGCATAACCGCATCTCTCTGGCAGCTTCTCATCATAGACAATATTCTATTTCAAGAGAGGTCAAATAATAAAAAAAAAAAAAAAACAAAAACGAATAAGTAGAAAAGATATGTATGCATATGTGTGCATGCTTGGGTGCCATGTCGTGCCGTGCTGTGCGAGGTTGTTAAATCTTTTCATAAAAGATTTTCTTGGGTTATCTATTTGAAACGTTTTAGTTAGAAGATAGTTAGAAAACCCTTGCATCTAGAAGATGCGTCCACGTGCATCGTCAAGTAGTTCACCTTGACCCAAAGAAATGCTACGAAGGTAACACGTGGACCTATGTGTTACATCTTCTCGATGGGATTTCTTATATAATACAATATGCATGTATTTATATTATAAATTCCAAATTCATTCTTATACAATTTTAAATTTAATTCTTCCTTTATTATTATTATTATTATTATTATTATTATTATTATATTTTACGTTAATTAAAATTTTTAACCTATCCATCATATTAGTTTATAAAATTATGAAAAATTCCAATCCATTAAGAAAAGAAAATTATTTAATTTTTATGGTGTTTGTCAAATATGTGTTTACCAAACGAATACGAGTAACCTGTTGTTAGTTCCTTGTCAAAATCGAGTACAAACGAATGCATTTGGTTGAGTCGTTGTGAAATAATTTGTATAAACAAATGCGTGATTAATTAATAAGTCCCCATTATTATTAAGTTTTGCATGTGGCGCAAGCAGCATTGCTGCATGTGGGTCATATTTCGAATAACAAACAAGCTCGAAAACGAGAGACACCATATTCGCAAATGGAAGTCCATTGTACTCGGTACACTCAGGGTGGTGGGCCTCTTTAAATATTTAACAGTTCTCACTTTATGAGTCGTGAGAGTTTCTTCCTCTTCTCTTTTCTTTCTCTCGTTTTCTTTTTTTTCTTTTTTTTTTTTTCAAACGATATCCGGTCTCGTAAGAAACGAAATATTTAAGATTGATACTTTTGGTTTTATTTTCTAGGTTAGTTTTGATATACACGTTTGATTTTCTATAGCAATTGAGAATCATTCGAAAGGTGTCTGATTCATCGATTTCATTGAGACATTCCGAAAAATAAAAAGTTATTCAAAAAAACAAAAAACAAAATGTTACACGTGACGCTTCGTATAAACGAGAAAAGGAAAGTGTACTCTAAATGGTGAAAGTTAAGTTTTGTGTCCTACAATAGATGGCGAACACTTTTTACTTTTTTCTTTTTCTTTTTTTTTTTCTTCGTCGATTCATATTCGTTCTTTGAACGATTATTACTACGCTATATATTATTAAAACTGTTACGAAATATTTGGAAATATATTTAAAACGTGTATAGAACACAAAACTCTTATATGTTCGATTTAATATTTTTTTTTTTGAATTTTTTTTTTCTTTTTACAATGGACGAGTTAAAAGAATTTTTTTTTTTTTTTTATGTCAGAGAACACGGAAGAACGAGGCCAATGAACTTTACGCTCGCGTCCTATATCCTAAGCTTATCTTTTTTATTTTTTTTTTATAGGCTGCTGCTGCTTCCCAAATCCGGTTGTGTGTTGGTATTTCTATATACTACGTTTATAATCTAAATAATAAAATAATCAATTATTATTATTAAAGGTAATTTATTAGACAATAAAATAAATATCAAACGAATTGGTAGAAAAATTATTATTTTTTTTTTTTTTTTTTTTTAATAAAATTATTATCAATAGGAACATTAATGAATATTTTTAATATTATATAATATATATATAAAAAAAAACATTGATATATTTTTTTTCTATCTTACTTGACTTTAAAATACAAACAAATCTGTGTGTACAAATCATTAGCACTTCATAAACGTGTATATTTCTTCGTTGCAATTAACACGTTTTAGTATCGAACAAAAACATAATTATACTTCAAAGATGACTGTGTTTGTTCATTTGTTTTTTTAATTTAATTATAAAAAAATATCTCTAACGATTAACAATTATTTACAATAAGTTTACACGTATAAATTCATATTTTATTTTATTTAATATCTATACTAACTACCAAATGAATTAAAATTATTATTATTATTATTATTATTATTATTATTATTATTATAAATTGATTAACATTATGATTTTTAACGTTGACACATTTTTTTTTTTGTTCACATACTTTTGTTAGACAATTACGACGAATGTTAATTAAATGAATGATTTATTTTCTCTTACGATATTCTTTATAAAATCTGTATGGTTCTTCTTCTTCAAAATCATCAACAACTTCGTAAGCATCTTTACGTCTGTATTTGGTCGATGGTACATTGACAACGTCGTAACCATTGGATGATGAACTTTGGGCAACTTTTTTTAATCCTACGATGGCAGCAAGTATCAAACTCATCAAACTCAGTACAACAGCTTTGCCACTTAAAACGGCAAGTGCTTTCAACGCAATTGGCAATAGAATTGATTTTATTAATAAAAATCCAACTATCAGTGGTACCACGTATTTGTTCAACTTGTGTTTCTTTTTTTTCCTTGCTGCACATAGAAAAACAAAACAAAATGAAACAAAATTGTAAGAAATCATTTAGAATAACATACGTAGCATAACGATGATTCCTTGTTAGTCACGTCGAGTGTGACGGGAGGATTTAATTAAATCAACTCGAGTATAAAAAGTATTTATGGTGTTTTATCCTTTTAATTTTTTGTTTTCTTCTTATTTTTTGTGCCAGGAAAGCGAACACCGTGAACGGTTTAAGGGGTATCGTATCGCGATAAACATCATAACAATAAATAGGTGGAGTACGATAGTAATTTCACGCTTCCGCGATATCAATAAAATAATAATCAAATTGATGGATACGTGTTCGCGCATCGTTTACTCTTATAAATAATTTTAGTTTTGATCTTTTATTTTTATTTTTTTTTTTTTTTTAGTATTATTTTTGTGTTCAATATTAAATTTATGTCAATGAAAAAAAAACATGGACGTTTGTAAAATATTTTGAAATAATCATTCACGTACGTACCTTCTTCAATATCCATCTTTGTATCGCATAATCTCGTGCATGGAATAAACGATTCGACAACGTTTAAAATCCTATCGGTTAACCATGAATTACTTCCAATGCCATTTACGATGAATTTTTTCGTTGTAACGGAACGTTCTTGAGTCTCTTGTACCATTTCCGTACCAACTAACAATGATAAAAATATTAACGACACGTAAATGTAAAACATTTTTTTTTTTGTAGTTAATGAAACAAAAGTAAAAACTAAAATCTTGATTGTTTTAAAGTTAAGGGTTTTTAAACGACGGTTCGAACTCGTAAGAAAATAAGATGTCAACTGATGGTCCTGTTCAGTCTTAGCATTAGTTTATATAGGGTGCCACGGAAAAGACTCTGAGAAGGAGTTCACCAAGTTGGTACCAAAGCGTGACGAAAAGATCCGCCATCCAATAGCAGTTTGTTCAATCATTTGACTAGACATCTTCCCCCGAATATTTAAACCAGGACAAGTAGAACATAGTCAGAATCGTGCTGAACGAATAAGCTAGCGAACGAGTCCTCATAATCATCATTACCATTACCATCATCATCATCATCATCATCGTCGTCGTCGTCGTAAGAGACGTCATCTTGGGAAAATGTAATTTAGTCGATCCACTTCGTTTCACACTCGAGTTAATCCTTGTATTACCAACCAAACGTTTCGGCCGATCAGTTGGCGGCCTGTTTATAATCCTAAATTCCAACATTACTCAAACGTTAAGTTTACTCGTCATAATTCTGACGAATTAAACATATTGATATATTGAAGTTTTGATTAAGATTTGATAATCCCCCCCCCCCCGTATTGAAATAAAATGATTTAGATAAGTTAGATTAATTTGTAAATTGATTGAAAAAATGCGTCACAGTTGTTGATCAAGTAAGACGATTTTGGCATAAACATTTTGATTTGTTTTCAATTGAAAACAGATTTATGGATGTTGAATAAGAAACAGGATCGAATTAATTCGATTTCATTTTGATTGATCTTGATAATAGTTGATTTAACCAAATTTAATTTTAACCAAAAGAAAAAAATGTCTGTGTGAACCTTCTCGTTAACCCTGTCAATTCTAACTGTATCGGTTTAATATTTACGTAGGAATTATAATCGAAACTTTCCAATGAAATTATTATTATAGATTTAGTCCAGTTTCTTTTACCTAACGTATATGTGTGTTTGTTCTTTCCTTTTTTTTTTTGTTTTTTGTTTTGCTTTACCTATTACTATTTTTAATTCGACGTTGAAGTTTATTTTCTCAAGTTCTATGTGAAAAGAAAAGAACCATTATATCGGATTCTATATATGGCTATGAGGATGAGCGAAATTACTTGGCGTTTCCTTGACAAACAAATCTAAATGCCCTCAGGGTGGCACGTGAATAAAACTACCGATATCTAGGTTGCTCGCTTCATACACGAGAGATTCGATTAATTCGACTATCATTCAACAACCATTCTGAATTTCCTTTCGTCTCTTCGTAAAACCGAATGTACATACGTGTTATAAACATGTGTGGTATATTCGCAAATTTTGTTTGCTTAATACAAGTTTTTTTTTTTAATAATTACTACGATTTATTAATATAATTTTTATTATATTATATAAATTATATTTAATTTCATTTAATTATTTATACTTACGGTTTTATTAATAATTATTAATTAAATTAAAAAAATGTAAACATTTGCTTTTCAATTCAAATAAAAAAACATCGAGAATCTTATAAATAAAAAGTATTAATAATTAAATAAATAAAAGTAATTGTCTGTTGTTTTCTTTTTTTTTGGTAAATTAAAAAAAAAAAGATTCGTGAAAAAATTGAATGATTGAACTAACTGAATTTAATTCAAATATCACCAAGTATTCAAATTCATCCCTAATGCATTTTATTTTTATTTTTATTATTATTTACGTGCAAAGATATTCGCGCAATAATTATACATAAACAAGCAACATTGATAAATCGATTTAAACTAAAATCTAAAAATAAAAATATCTAAAAGTACTTTTACAATCAAGTTGTAAAGGTTCCTAATATATCATTTTTACAATACCAGTGGAAATAACAATCGATGTCATTCGTTGACGTTAACTCGTCAAGTAAATCGAATTATAAGCACCAATTCGTTAATAGTTACCCAGATATCAGTACTTTTCTAGTAAAGGAATGGTTTGACCATATGAATTTATATGATGAATATATTTTCAAAGGGTGGAACCAAAAAAAAGAAGAACAGTTTAATTATGGTCGTACACATCATTACCCATTGCTTCTTAATACACATCATACAGATACAAATACATTTATTCAAAGAATTTTCAACAAAACGTGTTGTAAACGAATGTATACATCAACACACACACACACACATTCACAAAATATTATAAGTACATAAATACATTCAAAAGATTCAGTTGAATTCATACACGCATACATAGACTCTGACATGATCGATGATTATAGTGTTTAATGCACTCATATATTCCCCGTACATAGTCCCCCCCTATTTCACCACCCCCCTCTGCTTCCACACTCCTCCCTTTGGGTTCTCATTTTGTTATTTTTTTTTATTCAATTTTTTTTTTCCTTTTTTTATTTTACGGACTGTCGATTTTCTTGGCAACTGAAGCGTGCCCGGCAGCATGCTCCCGGAACCCCCTCTGAACCCCCCTTGTCTTCTTAGCTCGTCGTCAAGAAAACGGATCGGTTAGTAGTTCTCGTTCGTTCGTTAGACCCGTAAGTTCTATCTATCGATCTATCGATTTTCATACATTTCTAATAAATCGCGAAAATTTCATTTATCATGATAATTGAGTTACGGTGAACTTAAGGTAAAAATACAACCCCTGGATTGAATATATATATATTTATATATATGTATGTATATATATATATGTAATTGAAATTTTCATTGAAATAAATTAAATTGATTATTTGATATAATTGTCAAAATCAAAAATTCGTCAACAAATGTGTTTATCTGCCGACATGATCGAACGATTCGTGAAATATTATTACGCAAAAAGATCATTTAGGATTTAACGATGATGTTTTGTCGTATTAAATGAAAAAAAAGAGAGAAAAAGATGAGCAAAAATACGAATTTATTAATAACATTTTTATTATTAACAAGTTTTTGTTATATCGTAAGAGGATCGCAAGAACTTGATGTGATTGAATCAACAGATGAAAAAGCAAACGAACGTATTGATGAACGTTCAAGATCGCGTGTCCAGGATGTTGGGAAAATTGTCAAAGAAAATAATAATAATAATAATAAAATTGTTACACACGGTACATTATTTTTAAATCGTTTACAACATGACAGGAAGGAACATTTGAAAAAGGATAATAAGTTAAACGTTAAGGCAAATACGATTAAAGAGAAAAGTAACGATCTATTGAGAGGTAATATTTGTAATTTTGTTGTTTTTGATTGTTTATATTAAAATTTCATTGTTTTTAAATTTTAAAAATGAAAGAACAAATTTTTTTCATAAAATAATAATGAACAGTGTTATAATTATGTTTGAACGTTTGAAGGGTTTACTGTTTTTTTTGTTGTTAAATTTAAAAAATAATTTAATTAAATAATAATGAACAGAACAGTGTAATAATAATAATAATAATAATAATAATAATAATGTTGGAACGTTTGAAATGATTTTTTAGGTCGACCAAGAAGGAAAAAACGTCGTAGAAGAAATCGTGCATTAATGGCATTGTTATTGGCATATAAAATGAAGTTCATGGCACTTATACCAACGCTATTAGGTGGTTTTATCTTATTAATTGGAAAAGCCCTATTAGCGGGATTTTTCTTCGCCCTTTTTGCTACCGTTTTAAGTCTGAAAACTCATTAAAATGGAGAATAAGGATGATTAAAATTATCAAAATTCATGCAATCATGTTCTGTACTTGTGAAATGAAAAGGAAAATAGAAAGAAGATATCAAGAGGATTACATAATTTTGTTCAATCAAAACGGGTGATATATTTACTACTCGTATTTTATTGATATTCAATAAGATTTCATATTAATTTATAGTGAATCATATTAACAATTAATTATTTTGAAAAATTAACAAACTTTTCATTGATTGATCATACAAGTTTTGTTGAAATATTATTTTTGCAAGAAAATGATTGAAAATATGATTAGATACAAGTTTAGATATATTTTGTATCAATGAATTTATTAATTTGAATAACGTGCAATGGGTAAAAATATAGTAAATTAAATTATGAATAATTATTAATAATATTGTGTTTTATTATTTCATTATATAATAGTTACAACAAAATAAAACTTATTAAGAGTTATTAAAAATATTATTAGACTATAACAGACTTATAAGTTGATAATTATTAAATTACAACAAATTAAGTTACAGCTTAAAAAAAAAAAAGAAAAAGAAAAAAAATAACACTTTTGATTTTTTTTCATCGTACATTCATTATAAAACATAATTTAAATATATATATAAATAAATATAAATATAATAAATAGA